TGGACAGCCACATGCAGAAGAATGAAACTGGACCATTTCCTTACACCACACACAAAAATAGACTCAAAATGGATGAAACACCTAAACGTGAGACAGGAATTCATCAAAATCCTTGAGGAGAACACAGGCAGCAACCTCTTCGACCTCAGCCGTAGCAACTTCTCCCTAGACACATCACCAAAGGAAACGAAGCAAGGGCAAAAATGAACTATTGGGACTTCATCAAGATAAAAAGCTTTTCAGCAAAAAAAACAGTCAACAAAACCAAAAGACAACCGACAGAATGGGAGAAAATATTTGCAAATGACATATCAGATCAAGGGCTAGTATCCAAAGGCCTATAAAAAAATTACCAAACTCAACAGCCAAGGAACAAATAATCCAATCAAGAAAAGGGCAGAAGACATGAACAGACATTTCTGCAAAGAAGACATCCAAATGGCCAACAGACACATGAAAAAGTGCTCAACATTGCTTGGCATCAGGGAAATACAAATCAAAACCACAATGAGATGCCACCTCACATCAGTCAGAATGGCTAAAATTAACAAGTCAGGAAACAACAGCCATTGGCGAGGACACGGAGAAAGGGGAACCCTCCTACACTTTTAGGTGGGAATTGACGCTGATGCAGCCAGTCTGGAAAAAAGTATGGAGGTTCCTCAAAAAGTTGAAAATAGGGACGCCTGAGTGGCTCAGTCATTAAACATCTTCCTTCGGCTCAGGTCATGATCCCAGGGTCCTGGGATCGAGCCCCGCGTTGGGCTCCCTGCTCCGCGGGAAGCCTGCTTCTCCCTCTCCCACTCCCCCACTTGTGTTCCCTCTCTCGCTGTGTCTCTCTTTGTCAAATAAATAAAAAATAAAATCTTAAAAAAAAAAAAGAAATATTTAACGTCTCTCTTTGTCAAATAAATAAAAAATAAAATCTTAAAAAAAAAAAAGAAATATTTAACGTCTCTCTTTGTCAAATAAATAAAAAATAAAATCTTAAAAAAAAAAAGTTGAAAATAGAGCTACCCTACGACCCAGCAATTGCACTACTGGGTATTTACCCCAAAGATACAAATGTAGTGATCCGAAGGGGCACGTGCACCCCAATGTTTATAGCAGCAATGTCCACAATAGCCAAACTATGGAAAGAGCCTAGATGTCCATCAACAGATGAATGGATAAAGAAGATGTGGTGTATATACAGACACACACAATGCAATATTATGCAGCCATCAAAAAATGAAATCTTGCCATTTGCAATGACGTGGATGGAACTAAAGGGTATTATGCTAAGCGAAATGAGTCAATCAGAGAAAGACAAGTATCATATGATCTCACTGATATGTGGAATTTGAGAAACAAGGCAGAGGATCATAGGGGAAGAGAGGAAAAAGTGAAAGAAGACGAAAACAGAGAGAAGACAAAGCATAAGAGACTCAATCTCAGGAAACAAACTGAGGGTTGCTGGAGTGGAGGGGGGTGGGAGGGATCGGGTGGCTGGGTGATGGACACTGGGGAGGGTATGTGCTATGGTGAGTGAGTGCTGTGAACTGTGTAAGATGATGAATCACAGACCTGTACTCCTGAAACAAATAATACATTATATGTTAATAAAAAAAGATAAGTCGGAGTGTAGCAGAGAAGAGGATAAGGAGGTGGGAGGAGAGGAGACAGATATATAGAGAAAGTAAGACAAAATTAATGACATTTTGGGGAATGGAGAGCCTAGTCATAGGTTAGGGTGCATGGATAGAAGTTTTTGGAGACACTGGAAATGTAGGACAAAAATGAATTCTGATGGAACCAGTACATAAATTCAAATAGTATGGACTTTATTTTAAAGCCCCAAGTTGTCAATCATGTCACTAGACACTGGAGTGTAAAAGATTAAAAACAATATACATTTTTATTTCTTTTCTTGAAATAAAGAGTAATGACTTCTGAATAGGTGGAAATGTGGGTTTTTACTATATCTGAAAAATTCTTACCCATTTTTGTCCTTGAATACTCTCTCTCCTACTCAGTTTGTTCTCTCGTTCTAGAACTTTAATACTGGGCTTCTCTCTACATATATATGATAGGGAGAATGTTGAATCAATTTGAATCAATTGAATCTATGATAGGGAGAACACTAAATCAATTTTAAATCATTACAATTTAAGGAATTTATTTGTAAACTTTAGTACCTTGGGTATATACTAAATGTAAAAGATCATTACTCACTATCTCATTCTAGATCTCTGTTACTATAGAGATGAATTAATTCTCTTAGTACCTTAGAGTACATATCCAAATTCAGTGCCAAGCACACAGATATGTCTCAAGTACTTTTCACCTAATCCTAATCCATATTCTTAAATTTCAGGCCTTAATTACTTTCTTGTTCAAGTTCTGGAATGAAATATAAATAATGATACATTGCCCTTAAAATGTGTGAGTACAGTGCAATTAAAAATCAGATTAACACACTCCCTTAGGACAGAGTTATTTTTAAAGTTTCTGTATTCATGGGGACCACTTACCTATGATGAGCCTATGAAGAGCACCCTTATCTCCATTAATAGCTGCCGCATGAACTTGGGATGCTAATGAGGAGCCAGGAAAGAACAAGTTCTCTGACCTGTTCATAGTCTTCTCAACACCTGGAGCACCCTGAAACAATGATTTAAACCATGACTATATGCAGAAAACATTTCTGAAAGCTGTCTCATCAGTCTTAAGTGGATATATTCTAAATATGGCTGAATAGAAGTATTTGATGAGGTGGGGCACCTGTATGTCTCAGTCGGTTAAGTGTCTGCCTTCGGCTCAGGTCATGCTCCCAGGGTCCTGGGTTGGAGCCCCACCTCAGGCTCCCTGCTCGGCAGGGAGTCTGCTTCTCCCTCTGACCCTCTCCCCTCTCATGCTCTCTCTCACTCTCTCTGTCAAATAAATAAATAAAATCTTAAAAAAAAAAAAGAAATATTTAACTGGGATTCAAAAAGTCTGCAGTCCTCGCCCTACCTAGAATTGCCATAATGTGGCAAATTAGATGACCCTTTGAACAAGTTGCTCATCTGTAAAATGAGAGGGTTGGATGCTTATAAGACTCTTACTAGGGGTTATCTTTTTTTTTTTTTAGGATTCCATTTATTTATTTGACAGAGAGAGACAGGGAGAGAGGGAACACAAGCAGGGGGCGTAGGTGAGGGAGAAGCAGGCCTCCCGCTGAGCAGGGAGCAGGATGCAGGGCTCAATCCCAGGACCCTGGGATCATGACCCAAGTTGGAGGCAGATGCCCAAGACTGAGCCCCCAGGTGCCCCAATATCAGGGGTTATCTGAGGGAAAAAAGGGAGGCTCAGTATTTAACCTTAGGCACAGGGCTCAAAAGCTACAGTGACTTTTTTTTTTTTAATACATTTATTTATTTATTAGAGAGAGAGTGAGAGCGAGATAGATCATGGAAGGGGAGGGAGAAGCAGACTTGCCACTGAGCAGGGAGCCTGATGTGGGGCTTGATCCCAGGACCTGGAGATCACGACCTGAGCCAAAGGCAGATGCTTAATCGATTGAGACACCCAGGCACCCCAAGCCACAATGGCTTCTGATTTGATTCCACATAATACTAAACATCAGAACTGAAATTGGGAACAAAGATGATAAGCCACAAAATGAGTATGATGTGAACGTAATTGTCAGGTCTGAATCAACTAAATTTAAGTGCTAAATTAAAAGGTACTTAGTTCTATAAATAAATAAATAAATAAATAAATAAATAAATAAATAAATAAATAAATACCTAGTACTTAGTTCTCTCTCTCATGCTGACAAAAGGAAGAATTTTTATTTGTTCTCTCCTTATGTTCTTTCTCTCATGCTGATAGAAGGAAGAATTTTTGTCTCTCCTATGTCTCTTGACCTTAGGATTTTACTTGGAAAACTACATCATTAGGATCAACCATATTTCATTGGAAAGATTTTGTTCTGACTGGTAGTCTGATAGGGTTTGCTAGAACCTTCTAGAAATGCATTAGCTGCATAGAAAAACAGTGAGTTCTCCAGCATAAGCCTCTTGTAGCAGAGGCTGGATTATGTCAGAAATGCAGCATGAAGAATTCAAGCACCTGTTGGGAAGGAAAAAGGGGTAGTTGCATCAGTGATCTTAAAATTCCTTCCTAAAGGTAAGATGCTATATCATAGTTGAATGCCTGCAAGGACCTGGAAGGTAATAAGTGTAAGAAACAAAGGGAGTCATGGGGAGCGTGGCAAGCTGGAGCATACATGCATATCTAAAGAAAGCAGCTGCTAAGCAGCTAGTTAACAGCTGCCAGAAGGGCAGACAAGTCCTCTTCTGATTTCACCAAAAAAGTCAGTCCAATCTCTGACTCTGGAGAATTTGGGAGCTTTGTAGGAGAAATTTATCACTACTGATGAGCTAGTACTCCTGTTGTCATTGACAAGGATTATTGGTTCAAATTCTGCCTTAAAGTGAAAGTGTTTTAATTTTGGTAAAGGTCAGCTCTTCATGTCTTTATTTTGCTGACAATTTGAGTTAACACGCTGGCAGAAAATATGGGCTTTGGGAGACATTTCTGTCAGAAAAACCACTGTCACAGGCAGGATTATGTTAAAGTGACTTGAAAGAAGCTATAAAACAGGTGGAGGTAGAAACACAGGAAAGGAGGAATTGCAGGAGGGCTCTAGGCCTGATTCCGTTAATAATAAGCAGCATGCCCTTAGGCTACCTCAGTTCTCTGATTTTCTGTAAAATATGAACAATGAAATAGGTAGACTATGTTGATTCATTCAATAAGTTGAGTGCTATGTGCTAGGATCTGTTCTGAACTCTAAAACATGTCATTTCAGATTTTAAGTGATCAGAGTTTTAGGCATATCAGAATCACACACACACACACCTCTTCATAACCTTTGAAAAATACACTAAAATTTTATCTCAGTTATATACATTTCACCTCATAATTGTTAGCACAGTAACAGGTACATAGCTGCTATCAGTAAATATTTGTCCAATGAAAAGTCACAGGCTGAGGGCTAAGTCCAGATGGCGAGCAGGATCAAAGTTTAATTTCTTGGACTAAAGAGGTCATACTCATGAGCATCTGCTCTTTTTTAATTCCCCATTTCTGGTCTCTTCTGTTGAAGAGGTAGTGAGCGGTCTAGAGATAAGAACACAAGACTAGAAGAGAGAGACCTAACTAAAAGTCTTGGCTCTACCACTATCTAATTTTGCCACCCTGGGAAAAGTGTTCTCTAGGGTCCTTTTCTAGCTCAAAAAAACATATATATGTACACACACACACACACACACACGGTGATTTTTGTAAATAATTTTTATAGATGAACAGCAAAACCACTTTGTTAATTATAAAGTGCTATAAAATGTACAGATATCATTAACTAATTATAAAACCAGCCAGTGTAATAAATGCTCTAATAATTATAACTAGTACAAAACTAGTGGTGCGGCAGTCACAAGCAAAGGAAGAGTCATTCTGATCAGGACTAACGGGTTGGTTTTGGGAAGTCCTCAGAGATGGTGACATTTGAGATGGCATTCCAGATAGAGAAGGGGCTAGGGCCCTTCCATGGCAGCGGGAAAGCTAAGAGTACAGGCAAGGAGTAGGGAGAACCTCAAAATGAATGCCTCTCAAGTAGTTAGCACTGATTGTGTGGCTAATATCTGGGACAGGTGGACCTGGCTCGGTGCTTCCAGATGAGGCTGGGGAGCTAACTAGGGCCAGATTAAGATCCTCAATTGCTTGGCTAATGAATTTCGTAATTACCCTGTAGGAGTGATCCATGCATTAGTAGCAATCACAGTCGCACTGAGCTTTTCAGTTTACAACGTGCTTTCCCATTTTATCCCATATCTACTCCCTACACGAGCCCACAGAGACAATTAGGGATAAGTCATCCACTCATTCTACTGAGGCCCTGAGAGGCGGCTCTGACTTTATAATACAGTAATTAGTGCAGAAAGAAGAGGCAGCAAGTGAGGAGGCTAGTGAAGGATCAGGCCACAGTCCAGGCCAGGAGGGCCTGGAGTTTGAGGCAGGGGCCAAGGCAATGCAGATCGATCGGAGCTTCCCCAGCCAGGCCCTCTCCTACTCACCCTCGCCTCCTCCAGGACTCACGTCCCGGGGACGGCTCCAGGAGGCACGACCCCCAGTGGGCCGCCCCTCCCGCCAGGACAGTACACTACATCCGGCTGGGAGAGCACCCCGCACGCGGAAACTAGAAGAACCCCTTCGAAGGCCGCCCGAGGCGCTCGATCGCACTGCCCTCTGGGAATTGTAGTTCCCATCCTCTAAAAACAGAGGTTCACCGCCCCCAGCCCTTTCTATCCCACAGGACCCCGCGCGCGGAGGACTCGGTGGACCTGGGCCGAGAGCCTGATGGGAAAGAAGTTCTGGATGCCCGATGACGTACTCAGTGAAAGTGGTGCAGGACCACATTTCCCAATATGCTCCGAGGTGGGCAGGACCCGGAAGTGAGGGTGTGCGAGGCCTCTCTGGAAGTTGTCCCGGGTGTTCGCCGCTGGAGCTCCGGGTCCAGAGGACGAGGTGCCGCTGCCGGGAGGATCGTCCGCTGCCGCCGGCTCCCGGAGCCCAGCCCTTTCCTAACCCAACCCAACCCTGCCCAGTCCCAGCCGCGAACCCCGGCGTTACCATGAATCCTGCCGTCTTCCTATCCTTCCCCGAACTCAGATGCTCCCTGCTGCTCCTGGTGAGTGAGTGAAGGAATGACAGACCCTTCGACAGACTCTCGGACGGCCTCACGCCCTCGCTAAGGGAGAACACAGCTGCTCCCACCCTTGCCTTCCTATCTTTTCCTCCGGTAGCGAGGAGTGCACCCTCCGCCGCTGCCTTCACTCCCCGCATCCGTCTGTACGCTTCCCAGGCCTGGGGTACCCGAGGCCTGAGAAACCACGGTCGGAGGTTGGGACCTGTAAACTGGAGAATTAGCCGTGGGGGAAGGATCCGTGGGAGGGTCACGGGCGAGGAGCTCTCCCTTCCCCCAGACTAACGGAGGTTGTTTCAGGCTCGAGGGCTCATGGACCTAGTGGTAGCTTGAATCGAAAAAGACCGGAGAGAGACCTACTGTTTCCTCCCACCCCCTCCTTTTGGGAAGGCCGACAGGTGCTGGGGTCCTGTGAATCTCACACTAGAGCTCTGAAACGGTGCCCGGTTTGGCAGAGCCCTCTGTTGTGGCTTGATGCGATTGGTTGGGAACCCGGAACTGGAGGCAGATTTGGAGTCCACCCGGGGAATAAAGGATTGAAGGGTGGAGACAGTGATTATCTGAAAACCTCCACTCAAGGTCTCCCTCAGATTTTGTCACACATCCCCCTTCCCGAAATTTAAGCAGAATTTTCAGTGCTCCTGATTTGAGAATGACCAGGTCTTCTGCGTACATTCGCACTCATTCCTCAAAGACTGAGGAATCTTTCCTCAGTCCCTTTTCCTCCAAAGTACCTCTCGAATGTGCAACCTAATTCAGGCTGCAGGTCAAATTGAGACAAAGGTGAAGGACAGACTCCATATGGCAATGACGTACCTTTAATTGAGCCGTTATCATACAATATTTGAAAATACTTTAATTGTAGTAGATTTTGAAAATCGAATTTAAGAGGAACGTTAAGTCAAAATCACTTTTTTTTTTTTTTTTTACAATTTAAAAAGCATAATTAAGTGACTCACAGAAAGTGGTATAGCTAGCTGGTTACCGGCAGAACTGGGACTTGAAGCCTGTCTCTTGCATTGCTTATTCCACCATAGCATGTTAAATTTTTAATATTTGTATTTGAAATTTTTAATTTCTCTCTCCCCCTCCTTCCCCCCCCCTTTTTCTTCTCTCCCTGTTTTTTCTTTGTGATTTTCAAGTCCTATTAAAAAGCCATATACAGTATTCGGATCTTTTTAGAGAAAAAGCACTATGAAAAACTAAAGGGGATGTCAAAAGTACTTTTGAGAACCAAGAGTTGAATATAAACATGTAATATTAAATGATGTGTCTTATTGACATTTCTTATACAGCAGTGAGTGACTTCTGCATAGAGGGAAATATTCTGTAGAGAGCTCTTTTTGGTAATTTCATTAATACACTGTGCTTCTCTTTTCCTTCTAGAAGTACTGGGATAAGGGTCATTGTTATTAGAGACTACTCTCACTTTAAAGATAATAGATATTAATCTTTTTCCTATCCATAAAATGATAAAATGGTCTGAATTGTAAGTTGTCTGCTAGAAATTACTTTCAGGTAACAAAAAACAAAAAATCAAAAAGAGGACAAAAATTTTAAGACATTAGAAAAGTTGAAATACTGAATAGGAAAACTACATCAGATGCACTTCCCTGGAATGGTATGTTTGGTTGTAGAACTTAGTTTAAGAAGGAGAAAGTAGTTATTTTGAAATAACTCATACTTTTTATAGAAAACCCACAAATCCATTAAGTATAAAAAGATTTTTTTCCCTAATGATTCTAAAGTCTAGTTAACAATTTGTATATTTAAGTAAACGTAGAGGAATAGAAACTTAGAAGACATTTTAGAGAATACTTATAAAGTTAATGGGCTGGAAAATAAAACCCAAGAAAAGGTTTAATAAACCAGAATTACAAGTCAAGCTAGATTCACTTTGAACACAGTGTTTACCAAAGCAGTTTTAATTATAGATTAGTAACAAATATTTATAAAACATCTGTGTAATCACTATTTGAGTTATCTAACTGGTCATTCTGTCCTAGTGATGGAACCTGCTTCGTCAGCATCCCACCTGTCTAAAAATATATCCTTTATTTTCTCCAATGTACTTTCTTCCTCCTCCCTCCAACTTCCCCTCTCAGACTTCAGGTTACTCCCTCCCATATACAGTCATCGAATATCCAAGTTCCCACCTAGCTGAGGTCATCATTTTTCCCTCAAATGGCCTGCCCTAAAAAGCCATATGTTCTCTTACTACAATATTTTTTTTCAGGCAAACTGTACCTCAGCCCTAAAGAACTAAATCTGTTCAGAGTTAATGGTGTTCATAAGATAATCGCTGAAACATAAAATCCTTAAACGTTGTAGAAAAATATTTTTCTTTTCCCTGATCTCAAAAACATTTTGGAACATAGCACTGTATGCCTGAAAAGCCTTTCTGGGATGAGTAACTGAACACACTTTTTTCCTGGGCTTTCATATATATTTCATATTTGTATTTATGTATTACATATATATATTGAAATGTGTATGTCTGTATTTAAAATCAAGGTCTTAGAGAATGATATCTTTTATTTCAGGGTTGTTTTAGAAAACACCCCCACTGCCTTTAAATTATTTTAAAACTCCACTGAATTTGCAATATGCCTTAGACAAAATGAGGTAACCTAGATGCACTGATTTAGGATAAATCAAAGAGAAATTTGAGTCACCTGGCAAATGCAGTGAGGCTTTACTGCTCATACCTTTTCTGTACTTCACTATGTATTTTGTGTCTGCTATGGTTTGGGTTGATTCATTGAATGTGTGTTTACAACTTTAGTTCTGAACTTTATATAATCTGTGCCCCCCTCTAACTTCATCATATTTTGTGGATGATTTGAATGCTGGAGATAGCAATGATTCTCTGCCGCAGCTCTGTGTATATAATACCTGGATTGGGAAATTGTTTGCAGTTGTGTGTGCTTTTTTTTTTTTTTGGAAGAAGGCTGTGGTGGGCGGGGGCAGAAGAGAGGGCAGAGCTAGAGAGAGAGAATCTTAAGTAGGCTGCACACCCAGCATGGAGCCAGATGCTGGGCCCGATCTCACGACCCTGAGTCGTGAGATCATGACGTGAGCTGAAATCAAGAGTGGGACGCTTAACCGACTGAGCCACCCAGGACCCCTCATTTTCTTTTCTCGTTATTTATTGTTGAGGAAACTGGATCCTCTGTCATTCAGAATTTCCCATATTCGGATATTGCTGATGGTATCCTTGTGTATGGTTTTATGTTTCTCTCTTCCTTGTGTTTCCTTTAAATTTGTAACTAAATTTATGTGTTTTCAACCACCAACTCATTGTATAGTTCATTTAGCTTTCATTTTGTAGTTTTCAAAAACTTACCTTCTAGTGTATAATTATGTAAAATTTGCTGCTTCCAAAACCAAATCTATAAAGCAAACTATTTGGACGAATCTAGCTTCTATTCCTGTCTGTATGTTCTTATCCCTTCTAATATAAGAAACTTTAAAATTTTTTTTGAAAGAGTAGGCAGTCTGCTTGTATGTATGTGTATGTTTCTCCCTTTCCTCCCGTAAACCATAGCATATTATTATGCTTTACTTTTTTTCTTTTTGAACTTAAAAGTGTATGTAAGTGTTAAATCACTAAGTTGTACACCTAAAAGTATTACTCTGTATGTTAACTAACTGGAATTTAAATAAAAACTTTAAAAAAAAAAGTGTACCTTAGAGATCAGGATAGAAATATTCCTTATTTCTTCTTTAACTGCTTATTGCTTCACTTGGTAGATGTACCAAGTCCACTCTTCCATTCTTCTGCTATAACAAATAGTTCTGCAAAGATTATCTGGTGCATGCATGTTTTTGCTAGTGTATCTTTGAGATAGACTCCTGTAATTGAAGTTGCTAAGGCAAAGGGTAAATGTATATGTAACTTTGTAGCTGTTGCTAGATTCTGCAAAATTCCTCTCCACAGAAGTTTTGCCAATTTGTGATCTTACCAACAGTGTAACAAGATTTCTTTATATCCTCGTTAACAAGATATGATGTGGACAGATAGGGTGTTTGTCAATCTGATAGGTGAGAAATAGTATCTCATTGCATTTTGATTTGATTGTCTTTTAATATGAGTGTGATTGAGCTTTTTTATGGGTAAAGGCCATTTGCATTCGAGTTCTTAACTCATTATTTCTTTAGTTGATTCTGTGATGCCGCTAGATTGAGAGGCATGGGAATATATGACCCTCTCAGAATTCAGTAATATTTCTGGTGGTTTAAATCTTGTAAAAACCTTGAAGATGTCTGATTGCTGCAGTTACTGAAAACTTTTTTCTAGGGGCGCCTGAGTGGCTCAGTTGGTTAAGCAGCCAACTCTTGATTTTGGCTCAGGTCATGATCTCAGGGTGGTGGGATTGATCCCCGCTCTCCCCCTCCCCTCCCCCTGCAGTCTGATTTCACTCTCATTGGGGAGTCTGCTCAGATTCTCTTTCTCCTTCTGCCCCTCCCCCCTGCTCCCTAGTTCACGGTCTGTCTCTAAAATAAATCTTAAAAAAAAACAACCCACTTTTTCTATACTGACCATGATTTTTAATAGCTTTATGATA